GCGCCATTCCATGCCACAGGTGCTACTCAGGCTGGGGGAGGACTTCAGCCTTCACCACTTGCCCTCAGCCTTGTGATTGGACTCTGACTGGGGAAGCTTCCTGGTTGCCTTGGCAGCCAGGGGGCGGTACTGGGTTCCCTGGGTATTTAAAGCTGGTCAGAGCCTTGACTCATTGCTGAGTTATTCTACCTTATGGTGAACACCCAGCTCCCTCCTGTGAACCCGTTATTTGATCTGACTTCCTGGCTACCGACCCTTTTGCTTGACCCTTCGACTACGATTCCTGCTGCCCGCCACGACCCGGAACTGGACCTGACTACCCAATTGGATTATCCTTTTTGTACTGCGATTTTGGACTTTGTTCGTCCCTGCCAAGGGGTTCCACACCCGGCCCATTACTCCAGCCCTGACATGGACAGACAAATCAGAATCCACCACACATCCTCTTCTAGGGAGAAGGACTGGGGATGGAAGGAAGGAGTATATTTTCAGTTGGCCATTGATTAGCTGGTGTTTGTATATGACGCTCCCCATGTGAGAATAAGTTGTGATGAACGGACACTATTGTCCTGAGAAGATAATAACGGGCTCCTCATAACATCAAAGGATTACAGCACACAGAGAAATTCCAGATGCTCTCCGATCCTTCTCCCTTCAATGGTGGTAAGGAGAGAAGAGTAAGATTTTGGACCCAGCAATGTCACATGGCAGCTGAATTACATGGTCAGCATGGACACTCCGACAATGGGAAGCAGGACGAGCAGATGTCTCCTCACCTGTCATCCTTGAGTAGATATTTTCTTATGCTAGTGAAGAGGATTTCATAGGATGTAAAAACATATTTCCATACCCAGTGTATTCTTTTCCTATAATGACCTTTATTTCCCCAAACAGGTCCATTGTTCTGTATGAAATCCATTTATCATCTGCTTCTCTTCATATAACTAATCCTGTGAATACAGTGTAAGCCAAAGTTCAGCCTCGCCCTGTGTATGTAAATATGAAACACTAAACTGCATTCCTCCCCGTGTCAGAGACTTTCACCTTCATTTGTCTCTTCCCTTGTCAGCGATGGCGTCTGCTGATCTGAGAGCTGAGCTGGAATGTTCCGTCTGTCTGAACATTTATACAGATCCCGTAAACCTGAATAGAGAGACATGATAGACTCCTCCATGATGGAGGGGGTCTGGATGTGGCTGGGCTCTCACACACATTACACACAGGTTTATCTGATATAATAACAGAGGTAAATGTATTCTTCTATATACAGGAAGCTGAAGACATATTACTGGATGTGAGCACAGCTCATACTGAGCTACAGATATCAGATGACAGGAAAACTGTATCCATGTCAGATATAGACCAGTATCACCCAGAAACACCAGAGAGATTTCAGTATTGTCCTCAGGGGTTGAGCAGTCGGAGTTTCTCCTCAGGGCGACATTACTGGGAAGTGGATGTCGGGGGATCAGATAGCTGGAGAGTCGGGATGTGTTACCCCAGTATAGAGAGGAGAGGATGGCAGTCAGTGATTAAATATAATATGAAGTCCTGGGGTTTGGACAGGAATGGTAATCAGGATTTGGTGATACATGACAATAATAGGATCCCATTACCCCCCAATATCTCCAGTAACAGAGTCGGGATAGATCTGGATTATGATGCCGGGCGGATCTCCTTTTATGATCTGTGTGACCACCTCCACACCTTCACCACCACCTTCACTGAGCCCCTCCATGCCGGGTTATGTAAGGGGAGGTTGTATAAAGATCTGTGGGGGGAATCGGGAGATGTGAGAACTCCGCCCAGAGTCTGGTGATGTCAGAAGGGGAGGGGGATGGGATTGGTGGAATATTCATCTAATTGCACTGCAGCATTTTCTATTATAAATATAATGCTGTACGATTTCTCCATCTCCACCCTCACCGATTGGCTGGAATAACTGTCCAATTATAGTGAGGGGATTTTATATATTGGTCAACGAGGTGGATGGCATCTATCTATCTATCAATCAATCTGTCTATCCTTTAATTGATATATTGTTTTCCCTTTAATTTTCCAAACAGTAAGTTATCATATTACATCAGTAATTTCCATTCTCTTACCTCTTCACCTATGTTTTTACCCTCCTCCTATGCTCTGCCCCTCCCTCTATGTTCTGCCCCTCCCTGTATGCTCTCCCCTCCTTCTCATGTGGGCACTATGTGCAGTCATGATCAGACATAATGGCAGAGATGATCCATCAGTACAGAGGATGCAGTGGGGTCACTGTGATAGGATAGGATGGGGTCACCTCTCCTTCCTGTCCTTAATGCAATGTCAGTGGTGACATCAGAGATAGAAGGAAGACACACAGAACAGAGAGGAGAGGTGTCCACATCCTCATCCTATCCCATTGACCACACTGCATCCTCTGTACATCTAGGAGAGGTCACATGACACCATCTGGGGATGGGAAGGACAGAAATTAGGTCTGGTAGATGGTGGTGGTGATGAGCTCCGTCTGCTCTGGGAGGACTCATGGAGATCGGCTCCATCACACAACAAGAGGGGGAGGGGAGAGTGTCAGAGGACTTTTCTGTAGAGGGGTGAAGGGTGACGATAGATCAGGTTGGGGGGCAGAGGAAGGGGACCGGTGTGTGTCTGTACAGAGCAGCATAGAGCTCTCAACTTCCCCGGGATGTACAGGACATATAAAGGAGACACATACTGGGAATATCTGATCACACACTGACCGCTCTGCATCGTACAGAATTGTATTATAGGAATCTGTATATGACGTATGGTGGCAGCCATTGCTAACTTCCAACTGCTAACTACTAATTCCCTGGCTGTCAGTCTGATCCAATGGCTTCTATACTTTCTAAGTCAGTAACCAGAACAAGTATTCAGACTCGGAGTTTTGTCTTAACTCTGATTTCCTGATCTGCAGGATTGTTCCAGGTCAATTTCACAAAGTACGGAGGCCACAGAAAGCCAGACAAGCTGCATTACCAGAAGGGATCCAGCAATGGCACCCTCCATATTTCCCTCCATAAAGGTGTAATTTAAAGACACAGGAGAGGATTCAAAAATAAATGAGATACCTTCCTCAGAGATTGTAACATACAGGGGTACAGGTACTCATAAACCTAAGACCATACAGGGACAAATAAACACAAATGCACGCACTACACACACAGACACCCAAAGGTTGAACTCCATGGACCTGTGTCTTTATTCAACCTCAAATACTATGCAACTATGTAAGGAGTTTCTTGTTGCAATTTTTATGTTAATTTTACCCAAATACAAAATGCTTAAAGAGAAATTATAATTGTCCATTGGTTGGTTTTATGCATTGCTTAATGGAATATTTACAGTTATAAGTTGATCTTTTATGTCACTTCTCTTATTACTTGTATGAAATCTTCATTGTAGAAATAAACATTTACTCCAATCTTCCATGACGCTGTGTTACAAAGAATTCTGGCATTTCTAATAGGACAGCCCAGCACTAGCCGTTCATTTGTGGACTGTCTCTCTCTAATTGATCCTCCATACAGAGCCATATGATCCAGAGACATGGAGGGGGGTTGCTCTCTCTTTGATCATCCAGCTGTAGTTGGAATAGCAGGAAGTAATATTACAGACTTGACAGAAGCCTGTAATGTTAGAGGAGAGTGGGTAGAAAAAGGGAGCACCTTCAAAAAGTTCTAGGCTTAAAGTCACATATCGAAATATTGCTGATCCCAGCTTGAAGGCACTTCCTTAACCTGTAAGAGGAGCTTAAAGTGACATTAAACCCTCAGATTTTTTTACATAAACCAATACTTTAATGTGCGCCGTACTGTAATCCATGGTAGTTTCCCTTCTCTTTGCTGCTCTTCCTTGTAAATCCTCATGTCTTCTCATGCTGGGGGAGAACTTTCCTTTGCAGCTGAGTGCCTCTTCCTGTAGTGCTGGCTCAGGTTGCAAACCTACACACAGACACCATGTATCCATTCCAGAGACAGGGCAGTCTGCTGCAAAACAGAAGTTCTGCCCAGCATGAGAAGAGATACGGATTTAAAAGGAAGAGCAGCAAAGAGAAGGGAAACTACCATGGATTACAGTAAGGCGCACATTACAGTATTGTTTTATGTTAAAAAATCTGAGGGTTTAATGTCACTTTAAGTTATTTTAGAGTATTTTTGCTTGGGTTTTTTTTTTGCTTTCTGGGTATCCTGTAACCCCTATCACCCTCTCCCCTGGACGATGAGCCAATATAAAATATTATTGGGGCGGGAGGACATATCAAGAGCTCAGTTTTTGAAAAGTTTGAGTTTTAAGAAATGTTGCGACATCCAGACGGATATGTCAGTTAGTAGATTAGTGACACGCAAGGACACGGAGGGGGAGAGTTGTGGAGTAGAAAGATAGATTTGAGTGTCATCGGCACACAGATGGTATTGGAAGCCATGTGAGCTTAATAACTGACCAAGGGAGGAGGTGTAGATAGAGAAGAGAAGCGGTCCAAGGACAGAGCCTTGGGGGACCCCTACAGAAAGAGGAAGAGGAGGGGAGGATTTAGGATAGTAGGTGACACTAAAGGAGCGCATAGCTAGGTAGGAGGAGAACCATGAGAGAGCAGAGTCTTGTAGGCCAAGCGAGTGGAGTTTTTTTGAGGAGCAGCGGGTGGTCAACAGTGTCAAAAGCAGCAGAGAGGTCTAATAGCAAGAGTAAAGAATAGTGGCCATTGTTTTTAGCAGTCATTAGGTCATTGGTGAGTTTTAGGAGGGCGGTTTCAGTGGAGTGTATGGGGCGAAAACCGGACTGAAAGGGGTCCAAAAGGTTGTTATTAACGCGGTGGCAACTCAGGTTGTTGTAAATAAGGCTTTCTAGTAGTTTGGAGGTGAATGGGAGTAAGGAGATAGGTCTGAAATTATTGAGGTTGGTAGGGTCCAGTGACGTTTTTTTTGGTTATTGGGGTGTCCAGGGCATGCTTTAGAAGGGAGGGAAAGATGCCAGTAGAGAGTGAAAGATTAAAAATGTAAGTAAGAGAGTGTAGGATAGAGCAAGAGGGTGCCTGAAGTAGTTTTGAGGGAACAGGGTCTAGGGGCAAGTGGTGAGGTGGGTGTCAGAGAGAAGCTATGTAACCTCCTCTGTGGTGACGGTGAAAAGAGGAAAGTAACAAGCGTGATGGATGGTCGGGTACATGGATGGGGGAAGGTGACTGCACAGTGGTGATCTGATCCCGAATTGTATCTATTTTGTTTTTGAAATGAATGGCAATGTCCTGGGCAGTGAGTGAGTTAGTGGGTGGTGGTTGTGGAGGACATAGTAGAAACTTGAAGGTAGAAAAGAGTTGATTACGTCTGGATGGGTGGGTTAATGAGAGTGACAAAATAAGTCTGTTTGGCAGCACGGAGGGAGGAGTTATATTTTAGGAGGGTAGCTTTGTACAGGGTAAAGTCTTGCAGAGACAGTTTTTAGCCACAGTCGCTCAAGAGTGCGGCTTTGTCTTTTTTGATGTCTGGTAACTTCAGTTTGCCACGGTTGAAGCGGACGTGGTCTAAGTCTACATGTAGTTAGGGGGGCTAAGGTGCCTAGGGAGGATGAGAGTGAGCTGTTAAAAACAGAAGTAGCCAGGTCAGGGTAGGACAGGGGGGAGATTTTGTCATAGAGGGAGTCAGTAGCAGAGTGGAGAAGAGAAGGGTTGAGGTGGCGGAGGTTTCTCCGGGTGACAATGTGCCATGTCGGAGTAGTCCGTGTTGGGGACAGGGTGATGGTGAAACTGACCAGGTTGTGGTCTGAGAGTGGGAAAGCAGTGTTGGAGAGGTTGCAAGGAGTGCATAGGTGAGAGAAAACAAGATCAAGTATGTTACCATCAGAGTGAGTAGGAGTGTGTGACCATTGAGTTAGATCAAAAGAAGAGGCTAGGTTAAGAAATTGAGTGGAGGCCAGGGTGGTAATGTTATTAGCAATGTTTAAGTCACCAGGAATGATAGTGGGCATTTCTGAGGAGAGAAAGTCGGGTAGCCAGGCAGAGAAGCCATCTAGAAAGCGAGATACCGGTCCAGGTGGCCGATATATAACCGCAATCCTCAAAGAAATTGGAGAGAATAGGCGAATGCGGTGGGTTTCAAAAGAGGAGAGGGATAGAGAGGGAGGTGAAGGAAGAATTTGAAAAGTGAATTTCGGGGATAGAAGGATACCCACACCACCTCCTTTCCGTCCACTGGGTCTGGGTGAGTGCGTCCAGTGGTGGCCACCATGGGAGAGGGCAGCAGGGGAGGCAGAGAAGATGAGAAGATCATGCACAGTGGTGAGTTTGTTACAGAGAGAGCGGGAATTCCAGAGGGCACATGGAAGGACTGATTCTAGGAAGCAGGGGAATAGAAATCAGGGTGCGCGGATTGCAGCTGCTGCCAGAGGAATGGTAGTGCTGGTTAGGAGGGTGAGTATTAGAAAAGAGAGGGCCAGGATTGGGAGAGATATCTTCTGAAGTCAGGAGAAGCAGAAGGGTGAGTGAAGGGAGATGAGAGGGAGTTTTATACGGGTGAACTTGCTTTAGTGTCCTGAAGGTAACCCTAGCATGTGGATTCAGAATGAGCAGGAGATGATGAGTGCAGTAATAGGTTGAGGGCAGGAGAGAGGGTGAAATATATATATTGTGGGGTGGAGAGGGGGGGTAAAGAAAAAACAGTTTAAGATGCCCAAATAGTGAGAAGTAAAGGTAGGGAATTCATGTTAAGAGAGGAGCGAAGAGATCAGAATTTGGATATTTATATTTTCAGATATGTTTAATGTTTAGCGGACAGAGTGACCTTACCCCTTGGGAGTAAGTATGAGACAATAAAAATGAATGAGGAGTAGTAGGAATGAAAGGGGTGGCAGTATGCAAAGAGAGAGGTATGGAAAAGGTTAAAGCGGGATTGTATGAGTGACAGGGAAAGTGGTAGATGCAAAGCAGCTGCTGGGCACCTGAATGGTATTGAGGTCAAGTTTTATTGTGGTCCTATATAGGTAAAGTGCATCATGGGGTGGGTGGGTTGAGGGTGGGAGTGATGAGCTGTAGAGTCTGCAGCTGAGATGCTGGGCTGCTAAGAAAGACTATCTTGAATCCGAATTGTTGAAGTGGATGGTTGAGAAGGCTTCAGTGATGTTGGAGGGTGGGCAGAGTCCAGTCAATGAAGCAGAAAATGGATCAGAGATTGGCTCTAGGAACAAGTCTCTTGGCAGATGTTTTTTTCTTGATGGTAAAGGAGAGCTCCAACTGCCTTGTGCAGCATTTTTTTGTGGGCCTTCTAGAGGGTGTCACCAAACCAGCTCCCCAACCAATCAGAAAGGACCAGGGATGAGAGACAGGAGAGCTTAAATGTTTTAAGATATTTCCCTTGACCCTCCCATAATGTCATTTTCCTAAATGCAGCTATATTTTTATCCACCCACATGCTACCATCTGATAAAACATAGATTTTTGTACATTATGAAATTTGCTTTTTATACATACCAGACATGACATACCTGATGTGTATGACTCCCTCAAAAGGGGTTATGTGTGTCTTTGGCCTTCTGTACCTCCTAAGACAAGGGTGCCTGGTATGTATGCGACCAGTGTTTTATGATACATCTGCATAGATATTTGTTATTACTGTAGCATCCCTGGGTCCAAGGTTATTAATTCTGGGTAAAGGAAGCCACAGGTCCCTGGGAACCAATGGGGCGGATAGGAGAGAAGGAGTGCTCGCAAGGCTCTCCCTGGCAATGATCAGCACCCGAGGCGACTAAGAAGCCACGGCAGTGCCACATGCGCATGTCACGCAACCTGCCGCCGGGCACCAAATCACCCCAAGAAGGACCCTATAATCTCCGCCATACCCCCCGGACCCCAGTTAAAGAGGTCACCCCTGGTCCCACAATAGATTTCTATTGATCAAAACATCGTTAAGAGTGTTCTTGACTGCCTCAAAGGGCAGGGACGGCTTTCTCCAGGACTTAGCTATAGTAATCCTAGTGGCAAAAAAATCCTATGTGAACGCTTCAAGTGGGACATAGGCTTCGACAATAACACCTCATGAGGGTCTCTCCGTAGGTCCACATTTAAGAGAGTTCGAAATCATAATCTCGATGCACACGGGCAGCTCCACCAGATGTGAATTATAGTGCTGGGCTCCAAACATCCATGAAACCAATTGGGGGGATACAATGGGATGCATCTTGCAGGGCGTGCTGGGGTATAATACCATGGTACGAAACCTTGTAGAAGTTTTCGATTGCTAACACATTGCAAGAGCAGCGAGCCGTATGGCCATCCATATGGCCTCCCAATCTTCATTTGACAAGGTCTGCCTAATTCCTCCTGCCATTGAATTTGATAAAATTTGCGAGGTTAGAGGAGGAGGAAGATCTAATATAGGAATAAAGTAAAGATACAAGGCCAGGGGTGTGAGGATTGTAACGACAACAATGCTCAAACGGGGCAAGTGTCAAAGGGGAAGAGTTCTCTTTTGGCAGAGACATAACAAGGTGAGGAATTTGTAGATAGCGATACAGTTCCGAGGTAGGGATAGAGTGAGAATCTCGCAACTGTTGACACGATTTAAGACCCAAAAGTGTGAGTATAGAGTAAATTGTAATGAAGTCTGTCGTGTCCACCAAGAAAAAGAGTGCGGATCAGATACATCCGGTGGAAAGAGAAGAGAATGCACTATACAGAAAAGGGGTAAATGTGGAGAAAATCAGGTCACCCGAATATTTAATACTGTCGCAGAATTTGAGAGAATGGATTAAAACAGGATTTTTTCAGAGAATGGGACGATGCGAAGGTGGTAGCCAAAGCAATACAGAGATAAGAAGAAGATGAGATTCCGCTATATCCAGGTAAGCCCACAAAGGAAGTTCAGTCATAGAGTGCAAAAGAGCCAGGGAGGCAATATTAGCAGCCAAATAATAAGAGTGGAGGTGCCGGACAGCTAGACATCCATGACTTTTAGACCGATAAAGGACATGTTGACTGAAGGTCTAGAAGCACCCCATACGAAAGAAAGCACATGACGTTGAAGTATACAGAAAACATGACTAGGATTGGGGATGGGCAGGACACGAAAAACATCTAGAGGGTTATTCACAAAGCTGCCGACGGCAGCCGAGTGAATAACCCACCTGAAGTGAAGTGAGCCGAACACTGTTCAGCTGTTCACTTCTGGCTCGTACGGCTGAAATCAGCCGTTCATCGGCTTGCTTCGGCTGGCTTCGGTGCAGCCGAACATGCCCAGCATGTTTGGCTGAGCGAAAGTGCAGAAGCAGCTCAAATCAGCCAATCCAACATCTGGATCGGCTGAGCCAAAGCTCCGGCATCTCACTCGTGGCCGTTCGCCCCCTATTCACATAGGGGCCTAATGGCAGTGAGTGAATAGCGGCCGGCTCCGCCCAGTTGTCATTGTTTAATGACAGTTCAGCGTCCCCAGGTTGACCTGTCATTGCAACTGGGCCCAGCTGTGAGTTGCCGTTTGCCGTGCTTCGGGTGTCACTTCGGCTCACATGCCTTTGGCTCCGCAGAGCCGCTCGGCCGCCTTCGGGATCTGTATGGGCTATAGTGAATAGCCCTTAAAGCAGCCCTTCGGTTCGACTGAACCAAAGGGCTCCAGCGGCCGAAGCTTTGTGAATAACCCTCTTAGTAATTTAGGCAAACAGGAAATTTTTATGGCATGCATCCTACCTATCCAAGAGATAGGATGACGTGTTCCAGGAATCTAACATTTTTGCCAGAGATTTCAAAAGTCGGGGGAATATTGGCACTATATAAGGCATCATAGGAAGAGGTAAGAAAAATACCCAAGTACTTAGGAGAAGAGGTCCACTGAAAAGGAAAAGAGCGAAGCAAACAGTCCTTAGTCTGGGAGGACAACGAAACATCCAAAGCCCGTGACTAAGATCTGTTCACCTGCGTTAACGCATATGTTAAAAAACAAAAACTTTCAAAGTCACACAAAAAAAAGGCGCGAAAACCCCTATCACCGAATTGTGAACCAGGCCTCAATTATAGCTGGTGCTTCTGGCATTTTCCACGTGTTGAAGATTACATAAAAGTGGACAGAAATCTTTCTAAGAGCTCAAGGAACATACAAATTAGACCCCACCACACATCCTCTTCTAGGAAGAAGGGATGTTAGAAAGGAGTATATCTTTAGGTGACTTTAAATTAGCTGTTTTTTTTTTAAAAGGATCCTCATATGAGAATAAGTTATGATGAACAGGCACAATTGTCCTGAGAGGCTAATAATGGTCACCCTATAACATCAGAGACTTACAGCACACAATGATTCTCCAGATGCACAGCCATATTTCCATATCCAGTGTATTCTTTTCCTCAAATGACCTTTATTTTCCCCAAACAGGTCCATTGTTCTGTATGAGATCCTTTGATTATCTGCTTCTCTCCGTATAACAAATCCTATGAATACAGTATGAGCCAATGTTCAGCCTCGCCCTGTGCATGCAAATAGGAAACACTAAACTGCATGCCGTGTCAGAGACTCTCACTTCCCTTTTCTCCTGTCAGCGATGGCGTCTGCTGATCTGAGGGCTGAGCTGAAATGTTCCATCTGTTTAAAGATTTCTACTGATCCTGTAATGCTGAACTGTGGACACTACTTCTGCCGGGTCTGTATTGATCCTGTGTTGAATACACAGGAGAGGTCTGGAGAATTCTTCTGCCCTGCTTGTAGAAAAAGGTTCAGGTGTCGTCCTGCACTGCAGAGGAACATGACAGGGTAAGGCACAGCCGTCCTATGACCCAACCACCCACTGCTGGCTACAACTCTTAACCCCTCCATGACCCATGCCCACCTTAAATAATGGACCACACCAGGTTGGATATAAAATGGCTGTAGCAGCCATTTATTATAAAATATCTTTAAATATATCATTTCAGTTCAAACATTAATTATCACCATAAACAACAATTTCTCTGTAACCCTTTCTTTGGCGTGAGGTCTGCGCAGGCACCACTTACTCAACCACCGAAGATCTCTGATAACCCCCTCTAACCACTGGCCCCTAGCTGCAACCCACCGACTCAGGGACAACATTGGGAAGTAACAGCAGAGACCTCCTACACCTATTTCTGACCTCTCTCTCTGCTGAACCCGCCAGAGAACAAACGGGGCCGCGCACCACGGACGCAGCCCACAGGGTCACCCCACCGTAGCCCGCCATGCGCAGACCTAACCAACACCACCGAGATCCCCTCTGAAAGACAAGCAAGTGAATTAAAACTGCATGTAAACAAACAAACAAAACAAAAAAAACTTTAGGGAGGGCGGGAAGTGAACTGACCTTGTGCTGACTCCCAACTGCCTGGATCACCCCTCCTCCTGCTCTAACCACCCTGGATGCTCCTCCTGCACCACTTGATCCAGCCAATCATGGTAAGTGACCACCCGAGCACCTTCCTTAGGCTAACTTAACCCTTTCTCTACCTGACTGCCTGCCCACCCTGTCATGCCGTCCTTTCCGCCTATTCTTTTGCCTTTTGCTCCAGGACTTTCTTAACACTTCGTAACAAAGAAGAGAATTTCCTGTCTGCTCAGCCAGATCAGGAGGTGCCCGGGGTCCTCTGTACCTACTGTGTGGACTCTCCGGTACCTGCTGTTAGATCCCGTGTGCTCTGTGAGGTTTCTCTGTGTGATAAACACCTGAGAGTCCACAAAAAGTCTCCAGAACACATCTTATGTGACCCCACCTTGTCCATGGAGAGCAGGAAGTGCACAATTCATAAGGAAGTATTGAAGTATTTTTGCACTGAGGATGATATCTGTATCTGTGTGTCCTGCAGTTTGGCCGGAGAACATCGAGGACACCAGGTGGAGATGTTGGATGAAGCTTCTGAGAAGAAGAAGGAGACACTGATGAATGTTCTGCTGAAACTTCTGACAAAGAGAGAGGAGACGGAGGTAAGAGTCCAGAGTCTGCAGGAACACAGGAGGGAAGTAGAAAAAAAAGCAGCCGGTGACACAGAGAGAGTCTCTGCCCTGTTTATAGAGCTCAGGAGACGTCTGGAAGATCAGGAGAAGAGAGTCCTGGGTGAGATCTCCGGGAGGGCCGAGCGGGTCTCTATCTCTGTGATGGATATGATAAAGAAGCTGGAAATAAAGAAGGACGAGCTGTCCAGGAAGATGCGTGACATTGAGGAGCTGTGTAACCTGACAGATCCACTGACTGTCTTACAGGAATCAGACACAGGTGACTTGTGTGATACTGAGGATGGAGATGATGAGGACAGAGAGAGACATGATAGACTCCTCCATGATGGACGGGGTCTGGATGTGGCTGGGCTCTCACACACATTACACACAGGTATATCTGATATAATAACAGAGGTAAATGTATCCTTCTATATACAGGAAGCTGAAGACATATTACTGGATGTGAGCACAGCTGGTAATGATCTACAGATATCAGATGACAGGAAAACTGCAACCAGGTTATATATAGACCAGAAACGCCCAGAAACTCCACAGAGATTTCCGTATCCTCAGGTGTTGAGCAGTCAGAGTTTCTCCTCAGGGCGACATTACTGGGAAGTGGATGTCGGGGGGTCAGATAAATGGACAGTCGGGATTTGTTACCCCAGTATAGAGAGGAGAGGAGTGCAGTCACTTATTGGAATGAATAACAAGTCCTGGGGATTGTACAGGATTAATAATCAGTATCGGGTGATACATGACAGTAATGAGATCCTCTTACCCCCCAATACCCCCAGTAACAGAGTCAGGATATATCTGGATTATGAGGCCGGGCGGATCTCCTTTTATGATCTGTGTGACCCGATCCGACACCTCTACACCTTCACCACCACCTTCACTGAGCCCCTCCATGCCGGGGTATATGTAGGGAGTGGTTGTCAAAAATTCAGTGGAGGAAATTGGGAGATTGTAGGAAATCACCCATTGACTGGCAGAGGAGGGATGGGATTCGTGAAATATATTTAGGCAATTAGGATAAGTCAGTGGGTGGGGATATCAGTCACCGATCTGCAGATTTACTGTTATAAATACACTTAGGTGAGATTTCTGCATCACTTCCTTTCAGATCACTGTGATTGGCTGAAATACCCAACCAATTACTATCGTATCTATTTGATTTATCTTATTATATTATCTATCTATTGTTTTGACTTTAATTTTAATTTTCCAAACAGGAAGTTACCATGTTACATTAGCAATTTCCCTCCTCTTGCCCTTAACCAATACTCTGCCCCTCCTCCTATGTTCTGCCTCTCCCCTCCTCCTCGTGTGGGTACAATGTGTAGCCATGATCATGGTAGAGGCCAGTAATGATCCATCAGTACAGAGAATGCAGTGGGGTCACTGTGATGGGATAGGATGGGGTCACCTCTACTCTCGGTCCTCCATACAGTGTCAGTGGTGACATAAGTAAAATAAGAGATAGAAGGAAGACACACAGAACAGAGAGGAGAAGTGACCGCATCCTCATCCCATCCCAGTGACCACACTGCATCCTCTGTACATCTAGTAGGGGTCACATAACACCATCTGGGGGATGGGAAGGACAGAAATGAGGTCTGGTAGATGGGGGTGGTGATGAGCTCCATCTGCCCTGGGAGGACTCATGGAGATCGGCTCCATCACACAACAAGAGGGGGAGGGGAGAGTGTCAGAGGACTTTTCTGTAGAGGGGTGAAGGGTGACAATAGATCCGGTTGGGGGGAAAAAGAAAGGGGACCGGTATAACCCGGTATGTGTCTGTACAGAGCAGCATAGAACTCTCACCTTCCCCGGGATGTACAGTGTAGGGATAAATGATGATCTTTGCTGAATTACATTTCTAGACCCCATTTTGTCTATATAATATTATGCTTAATGAAACATATTATGAAATGTATCTTCTAAGTAAACATGGTAAAAGATAAAGGTACACTACCATATAGAACTAAATGATAAGACATCTAAAATGACAAGTTAAAGATATTCCACTATACGATCATATTCTATATGTATATTATATTAAAGAAAAACATACATACTGTTAAACATGTATACTAAATACAGTTATAGACTTTAAAACATCTTACGTACAAAACATGTTTTAACAAGTAATATTGTAAGGCATTTTTTCTATGGTTGGGTGTTAGCCGTTGTCTTAAAGTGACATTAAAGTCTAAATGTTTTTTCCCTCCCCCCAATGTTAGTGAAAGCGCTTACCTAAAATGGTGTCTCTTAATCCAATTATCTTTTTATTTCCTGTCGTTTTCATCTGTCCCTCCGATCCAGCGCTGACACCTCTGTGCTTGCTGGCACTTCATGTCCCACGGTGTCTGTGCGGGTGCACGCTGTCCATAGACTTAGGGTGCCCACACACCTTACGATAATCGCGGGAAATCCTAAAATAAGAGATAGAAGGAAGACACACAGAACAGAGAGGAGAAGTGACCGCATCCTCATCCCATCCCAGTGACCACACTGCATCCTCTGTACATCTAGTAGGGGTCACATAACACCATCTGGGGGATGGGAAGGACAGAAATGAGGTCTGGTAGATGGGGGTGGTGATGAGCTCCATCTGCCCTGGGAGGACTCATGGAGATCGGCTCCATCACACAACAAGAGGGGGAGGGGAGAGTGTCAGAGGACTTTTCTGTAGAGGGGTGAAGGGTGACAATAGATCCGGTTGGGGGGAAAAAGAAAGGGGACCGGTATAACCCGGTATGTGTCTGTACAGAGCAGCATAGAACTCTCACCTTCCCCGGGATGTACAGTGTAGGGATAAATGATGATCTTTGCTGAATTACATTTCTAGACCCCATTTTGTCTATATAATATTATGCTTAATGAAACATATTATGAAATGTATCTTCTAAGTAAACATGGTAAAAGATAAAGGTACACTACCATATAGAACTAAATGATAAGACATCTAAAATGACAAGTTAAAGATATTCCACTATACGATCATATTCTATATGTATATTATATTAAAGAAAAACATACATACTGTTAAACATGTATACTAAATACAGTTATAGACTTTAAAACATCTTACGTACAAAACATGTTTTAACAAGTAATATTGTAAGGCATTTTTTCTATGGTTGGGTGTTAGCCGTTGTCTTAAAGTGACATTAAAGTCTAAATGTTTTTTCCCTCCCCCCAATGTTAGTGAAAGCGCTTACCTAAAATGGTGTCTCTTAATCCAATTATCTTTTTATTTCCTGTCGTTTTCATCTGTCCCTCCGATCCAGCGCTGACACCTCTGTGCTTGCTGGCACTTCATGTCCCACGGTGTCTGTGCGGGTGCACGCTGTCCATAGACTTAGGGTGCCCACACACCTTACGATAATCGCGGGAAATCCCGCGATCGTACGATTATCGTAAGGTGTGTGGAAGCCGTGCGACCTCTACTACTGTAAGGTCGCACGACTTTTAACTTACGAACATGTTCGAAAACCCGCCTAGCATCGTACGATGTTCGGCGGGTTTGTGGCATGTTCGTAAGATAAAAGCCGGACGGGCCGGTGTTCGCAAGCGCCCACTGCCCTTCGGCATTGCGGTCATCGGAAGCCCGCCCCTCCTGGGGGCGCGCTTGCGATCATCGCAAGTACGATCTGCCTGTCTAAGATAGGCAGACCGTACGTTTTCTTAATTACCTTACAACCATCGCAAGACAAAAGTCTTGCGATGGTTGTAAGGTGTGTGCCCAGCATTACCTTGTGTCTCTCCTTGTCTCCCGGCTGAAAATCTGAACTGCGCATGCGCCCACCCTAAGATCTTTTGCGGCCGCTCAAGATTTTTTCGATTTTTGGACGGGAGCACGTGGGGAAGACACAGGTAAGTTTAAACCTCTTTTAAACAGTAGAAAGGCATCATGGCACACTCACAAGTCAGCATGTAAAAAAACTTGTCTCACCACTAAGGTCAATAACAGAGGTTTGGATACACGTCTTCTGCTAAACCTCTTTTAAAGCATTTTTTAAAAAGTTTTTGCATATATCTACTGCTTGCTAGCCTCATTATATATATATATACAAAAACACCGGAGGGTTTAATAACCCTTTAAGGTCATTGGAGAAATTGCCATTCTAGGAGTTTTTAGTTTATCTAAACTCAGACGCTTGCTATGTATACGTGAGGAACAAATAATGCTGATTTAGGATGTATTTTGTTAAACTGAACAATGATGTAACCTAATCTTTATCTCGATGTGTGGACCTATAAAAGCTGTATGAACTAGAGTGGGGTTGGAATTGGCCTGACAAACTAAGGCCTTTCCCCACAGGCGTGTGTCAAATAAACCTTTTATCTGATTTGGATCTACTCACAGACTGTTGCTGCTTTGCTCTTAAAATTCCCTGATCAACAGGACATAAAAAGGAGACACATACTGCGAATATATGAGCACACTACCCTGTTTCCCCGAAAATAAGACCTACCCCGAAAATAAGACCTAGTTGTGACCATTCCCAGGGCTGGTGGTGGCATAAGGAGGAACTTAAAGAGCCACGGGAGAGGCAGGAGAGAATCAGCGGTGCCAACGAAGCCAGCGCTAGAGGAAGCGAGGCGGCAGCGGAGGGAGCAGAGCCGCATAAGCCGACGCCTCCTCTATAGCGCCGGCTCCTGTCACAGGCGGAGTGATACCAAATGCACTCCGCCTGTGGGGAATCCATAGTGAAAGTGCACTTCACTCATTCTGGCCAGCGATTGGTTAGCACATTGCTCTTGGAAAGGTACGGCACCCCTGATTGCCCTGGTAACCATATTTTTGTACATGAATAAGTGTGGATTGTTGTACATTAAAAAAGAAAAAAAATAAGACCTAGCCCGAAAATAGGACCTAGTGTGTTTTTGTGAGCCAAAAAAAATATAAGACAGTGTCTTATTTTCGGGGAAACATGGTAGTAAAGGGATGTGCAGTAAAGAGGTTCAGACATTGCCACATCCTAATAAATGTAAATAAAGGAAAGCAGAAAACAACTGACTTTTTAGGCACCACCATGACCACTTCAAATTTTACTTTAAAAAAAAAAAAAAGATATTTTATTGTATAGGTTTGTTGTTAAAATCACATAGTAAAGATAAAATCATCCCAACCATCAGTACCGACTGGTCCATATAATCTAAGACAATTTTAGAGGCAAAAGAATCTTCTCACACCTGATGGGGCACAACTTCCAAAGGTGATTGGCCAAGAGGGAAGATTCCATCCCATCTTGCAACCTCAATACATCAGCTACCATTCAGGTACCAAAATTACTTTTAAAAGAACTGTGAACTGCCCCCCAATACCCAGGGTTCACTGATTGGGAGTCAGTAAACCCAAACATAACAGCCAATTCCTTTGAAGTCTACAGAGGGTGAATCCTAATGGTAAATTCTGGCCAGTTTAATAGGCAAATTTATCTAAAAAAAAGACATGGGGGGGCTGAGGACCAACTGCAGCTTGTCAGCTGACTGGCCTGCTAGGAAACCCTACACACACACACACACACACACACACACACACACACACACACACACACACACACAGAACCCTGTTTGTCAGATCTGCTAACTTATACACGCTAGACATGTGCAATTCGTTTCGTTCCGAATCGAAATTCGGACGAAATTTCGGAAATTCGTAGATTCGGAGCATCCGAATTTCCAAAATATAACATATCCGAAATCATCTGAAAGCATCCGAATACAAAATTTCCGATTTCGTATCCGAAATTTCGGATTTGGAACGAATTTCGTTCAAATCCTGTGCGTGCACTGTTAACATTTAAACGGATAAAAACAAATTAAGAAAAGGATTTTAATGTCCCTTTAATAGTAAAGACTGGAGCACAGCAACCAGAAATGACAAATGTGCCAATTCTGCTACCCCACCTCAAGTTGAATTTTCGGGAATTCGTCCAAATTCCGAATCCGACACGCATTCCGAATCACATCCAAAAAGGAATCCGATTCCCGAAACGAAAACACATATAGCATCCGAATTCCAAAAAACAAAATAAAAGAAATCCGAAACTAAACGAAACACATTTCTAGCCGCTGCACATGTCTAATACACACTGATACTACTCTGCATGCGATCCGCAGTCACACAAAACAAGTTCATGCAGATTAACAGCAAGCTTAAAACTGAGCGTACAGAGATTGGTCATTGTTACTAATCTTTCTAGGAGGATGAATTCTTAATTTAGTACACAGAATGTAGGCAGGTGCAGTACGGCCAATGGCCACTAGATGCCCCCATGGGGCCCTAGAGATAGATGTAGCTCTGGCCTGGGGAGACTCTGTGTCCCAGGAGAGCTGATTTATAGGGGGCGCCCGAGAGGGGAAAGGAGAAGAGAGTACAGGAGAGCACAAGTCTAAGAGTCTATGCAGAGTCTCCGGAGGGAGACTGATTCTAAAACATAGGCTGGTCCATGGGAAGGACAGGACCAGGCCTAGGACTATGTAGAGCTATAGAGATTCCCCATTTTCTCCTGGAGGGGGAAACCACCGAGCTAGGACTGACAAGGATGGGATTCCGGAGAATAGTGAGAAGCTGTAAGACTGACGATATTTGCCAGTGGGCCTCTGGCCGAAGTAAGTCGTGGACTCTGGGCTGCACCTGGGCTGTTCTTCTCTCTCTCTAAATTGTATCACTATGCAACTATCAAGAGATGTGCCGTCATCCCACTCGGGGGTGGCTGAAAGGTATGCTTATTGTCATGTTCCTCCTTTTCAAGTAAAACCAAGAAAAGACTATCGGTGTGGACTGGTTCTTCTCCCTCCAACCTCTGAGAAGGTGGGGTTCTACAGGAGTGTGATGTTGGACTGTATCGTGGCTGTAACCATCCTGAGGAGGGTAGGTGTGCAAAGGGGCTATGCCCGACATAGGGTGCCTTTCATGGTGGCCTTTCTCCCTAAGGGGAAGGAAGCGCCGAATACTGCAGAGGCGGTGGAAGCCATGAGGCCCTGTGTGCGCAGTACTACACGTGTGGGAGTTGTTTGCACGAGGCCAGAGCCGAGGCCCCTGACCGTGGGGTGACTGGTGTCGTGTTGCATACACGGGGTTACACAGAGCTAACCCAAAGGGAACTCACACGTAACACCCCGAGAGTGAACCCCGCCTACAAGAAGGCCTCTTATTATTTTAACATTTAGTATCCCTGGGTGCACAGTGCATAAGAAATATGTACAAAGGTAAAAAGAAAGACAATAACATACAAAAACTTTGGCTAGTGACATCAAATTGAATAGGAGAAAAACAGAAGAAACTTCACTGTTGGGCAGTATTGTTTATCCTGCTGGCGGGAGAACACTCGAAATTTGTAAAACCGCATCTGTGGATACACTATCCTAGATGAACACAATGTTTCTATTTTAGGCTTCCCGATTTTATTGGGATCTGGGTGTGGGAGGAACTCTAGTCTATTGGCCAGATCATTCCCCAGTACAGATTTGCTCCACCCGAAACCTCTGCCCAGTTCAGATCTCTACTTGAAGTCCACTCAACAGACCTCAGATACAGTGGCAGTGTAGAGTGAGGGGAAGTCTTTACCTCAACTCTGTCATGTGACACTAGATGTCAAAGCCGAGGAGGCGCTTAGGGCATCCTTCCTCAGATCTTAACTGCTGTGGTATCTGAGGTCTGATAGGTGGGAACAAGTCGGTGGTTGCTTTGTCAAAACTTAAAAAATGGCAAGCAAGAAATTCTGGGCACGTGCACCCCATGCCTGGAACTAGCAACACCAATGCATGCTACAAAGGATAATGTTGTCTGTTTGGGAGCAAAGTATTAGCATAGTATTCCAAACAAATTGCTCAGTGAGTGTATATGGAAACATGTTGGTGCAATTAAGGCCCCCCCCCCCTCCATTTGCCCTTCT